AACAATGTAATTGCTGCTCCTTTTATCAATGGCAGCAGTGCATTTCAGAGAATTGGCATATGCATCTCTTTTCCCCCACTCAGTCCATATGTGTGCAAACACATGATTTCAGCTGCACACTCCACTTGTATTTTATTGTAGGAATAGCACAAAGGAAGGAAAAAAGAAATCAGAGAGGTGGTATTAATCTGGCCCTTACTCTGATGTTATGCAAATAATGAGTTTGTTTTATCTTGATGTTCAGACAGCCAAAGCCGTATTCCTAAGAACATGAAAAAATGATCCTTGCAGGAGACAGAAGAAGAAAAAGGGATGGGTAGGTGAGAAAGGCAGCTTTGATTTACATTATTCAAAGGGCCATGAATGCCAGATCAAAGAAGAGCAGGGATCAAATTCACATCCACTGGAGGATTTCAGCAGTTTTTTCAGAGCTATTGATCTCTCAAGGGCAAACCCTTTTAAACACCAGGTGATGCCTCTAACTAGCCAGAACTCACCCTTATACTGGCTGAGCCTCATGTAGTTTGCTCTCAGCAGCTGAGGAAAACGGCAACAGCCAAGACAACACAACACTGTGTCTGGGCTGGATGCAGGACACACTGAACTGAGCACAGAAATGGAAGGTGAGCCTTTTCTGCCTCGCTACATCTGCTGCAGAAAATGGCCATCATGGTAGATGTTCACTAAAAACCAGATTCCTCACTGACAAGCCCTGTGCTTGGGCTGAGGACAGACTGCTGCCACCCTGATGAGAGTTCTGGGCAGGGTTTGTTTGCTCAGTGGTGATTCACTAAAAATTTAAATTCACCTCGTATTTTGTGCAGGATGAAGGTGGAATAAGACATCTAAGGAGCTACTGCAGCTCAGCTGGCAAGTAGTGACTTGTTCATGAGTTAGACTCACTGGTCTAATCTGAACCCATGGAAGGCACAGGATCCAACCCTAAATCAAGTGCTGAACTGTCAAATGCATCATGAATTGTCATCTTCCCCTCACCCCTTCCCTTCCTTGGGACAGGTGTCCTTGGAGTCTGGCAGACAAACTTCTTGGTGTTTTGCCTTGTCAGTGGGCTTCAGGATCATGCCTTGAGCAAGAGACACTGGGATTTGGTGCAGCAAAGCAATTTAACCCGATCAGCCCCAGATAATTTCCTAAGAGCTGCCTTTGGATCCCCTTGCAGCAGGCTCATTGCTGCTGCCATCATCACAGCCCTGAACACTCCCTTCATTGCTGCTGCCATCATCACAGCCCTGAACACTCCCTTCATGCTGCCATCCACATTTGCCATGCTGCATACATGGCTGCAACAGCACATCGTGGATTATTTGTCTCTTTCCAAGCTCTGCTCACATTTTGAGGCCTATCTGCTCCCACCAGCATTCTTGGTACCTTGAACATTTTCAGGCAGTGGATGACCCTTTTCCTCCTGCATGTTTGGATTGAGTGCTGGTGCTGATACCATTTCAACACACATCAAAATTCTCCAGGACTCTACCAGGCTAAACAGCTCATTTGAAACCTCTGCCACTATTCTTTTGAAACACCTGAAGTCACAGGCAGTGTGGCTGCCCTGGGTCCCCTCTGAGATACAAATTCACAAATGTTAGACACACACATATCAAGTCCCCCATTCTTTCCCAATAAAAGCCTGGACTTTTAAGCACAAGGTGAGGAATAGATATTCTACTGGCCAGCTGCAGTGAGCCTTTCATAAATAATGTGACAGTCAACCCCCAAAATGGAAAATGATACTCCAGAAGCTCTGTCCTGCCTGACAAACATCTGCTTTCCTCTTGTAGAAAGGAATTACATGATAGAAAAAGTCAAATGCTGAATGCCTAAACAAACTGAATTAAGAAGAGATGGTAGGAGTAATGATGGATGAATTGTGAACCACCTGCAAATGTTAAAGTTGCTGTACTCTTCTGCAGAACATTAAGCCTATAGTGCAAATGTCCAATAGACAGGGACTGTGCACTATAAAAATCATGATGAATGCAGGCTTGTTTTTATATTATGGAGGTCCTAATCCTCCTCCTCTTCTGCCTTTGCTCTATTGTTACAACATCAAAGACCAACTGCTGGCCAAGATACAGTCAATATGAAAAGGGCGACCAGCAAATTTACTGCTTGACTTCATTCCCTTTAAATGGAATAGGCACCATGGCCCTTTTTCAAAGTCCAATCACAGACATATATCTTTTTTATTGGACATCATGTACAATAAAGTGAAGCTGTAACTTGGAAAAAAAAATAGAACACCTTTAAAAAATCCCATGAGGTGAACATTCCTTTATAAAAATATCACTGTGGTTACATGTTTTGAAAAACTCCGGGCACTCCACAGGGCAAAAGGCATGTACTGGCTGGGTTATAGTTTAGCTAAGATGCATACCCAGGCCTGATATTGAGTTGGTTTCAAAAAAATACCTCAACCAACTAATAAAAAGGGATATATTTAAGATAGAATGCCAGCATCATTCAAATAAACTGTAATGGCAGCATTCATGCCATGAGATTCATTAACTGCTTTGTTATAGCCTGCTCTGTGCAGTGAGCCTTTACAGACTGCTTCTGACCAGAGAATCTTAAAATCAGGAGCACAAAATGCTGATAGACAGACTGCATCTTAAACAACTCCAGTCTGATTACTGAGTAACTTCCAGAGGCACTTTCAGATGAGAGTTGAATCAGCAGACATTAAAGACAGAGGCAGTTTTATTGCTCCCATGTTGCTAAATAGAGAGAAATAATTTCTGGCTATGAAATTAAATAGAAATAATTTGCTAAATAGAGAGAAATAATTTCTGGCCATGAAATTAAATAGTGCATAAACAATTTACATGATGTAGGAGGAAAGCAGAGTGGGGTGTTACAGAATCTGTGCTAGACAGCTATGGTTCTTATTTTCTGTTTGAAACTATTAATCATGTTTGTTTCTTTGGGTAGCTTGTGCAAACAGACATTAGTAGATGTCTGGCTATATTGAGACCAATCTCATACTTATTCTAAAATCCTGCACTGATGCATATGGCAGGTAAAACAAAGCAAATTTATGTTTTATCTATATAAACTTCAGCAGCTGCTTCCAGTGGAGTAATGATGGTTTCTTCTGAGGCTGCTGGGTTACGTCTAAGCCAATAAAGATACTAAAGCTGTGTAACTAATTTTTGAAGCACTAGCTTAAAAACATAGCTGTCTTGTCATTAGGTCCTCTTGCCTGTTATTTCTGTTACAATTTCTCTGCTGTCAACTCCTGCCATCCCAGCCTGCAGGACATCTCTTTCAGTGCAAGGGCTTCACTTCCTGCTTGTCACAGACATCTTTTATGGAAAATCCTTTCCTTAGCATTTTCCCTCCTGAGAAGCTGAGAGGCCTCAGGAACAAAATGTAAACATTAATTATCTGCTGCTGTGGAATGCAACAGGTGCATCTGTGATTGGCTCATGTTGGATGTTTGTAATTAATGGCCAATCAGAGTGAGCTGGCTCAGACAGAGAGCCCAAGACAGAGCCTTTGTTATCACTCTTTTTTATTCTATTCTTAGCTGGCCTTCTGATGAAACCTTTTCTTCTATTTTTTTTTTAGTATAGTTTTAATGTAATATATATGATTAAATAATAAATAAGCCTTCTGAAACACGGAGTCAGATCCTCATCTCTTCCCTCATCCTCAGACCCCTGTAAACACGGTCACACCTGCTCAGCATTCCTGGCCATTCCTCTATTTGAGGAAGTGTTTTGACTGAGTGCCCAACCCAGTACCTGAGCACCCAACTCAATGAGAATGCAAAGGCAAGATGCCTGAAAGGAGCATTCAGGAAGTTGTACCTGTCCCATGGATGACATGGACCCAGGACAGCTCCTTAGAAGAGGAGGAATCCACTTTTCTTAGAGTGGCAGAACCAGATGGGCCCTATCTGGCTTTTATAGGTACTTACAGAGAACTCACTGGTTTTGTCATGAGAACTGATCTCAACAGCCGTGCTGGCAAAGAGGAAATGTTCATCTTCCCAAGGATGAAGAACTACTGTGGAACAAACAAACACCTGAATTTTTCACTGCAGAGAAACACAACAGATGGAAATTAATTCATGTAACATGAAGAAAGCCACACTCCAGGGCCCAGCTCATCCTTATGGATGGAGGTCCTGATGACATTTGCTGTGTGCTTATCAGCTCTGTGGGAAAACTGAGCTGTGAAAGATTCATATTCAAGAGGATCTTGGCTCTGCAGCTGACACAAACCATTGACTTGCCTTGCTTTGTGGAAGCCAGTGGAAGGAGGTCAATTTAAACACACTGAGAAGGCAGATCTAGCACAGAAGTATAAAAGCCAAGGGATGTTTGCACTCCTCCTGCCTTTCAATGTGCACTGACTCCACCAAGAGTGTGAGAGAAAGTTTTCATCCCTGATTTCCCCCTCTCATCTTCAGGAGCACCTCCCTACATTAAAGGCTTAGAGATGAACAACTCCAGGCCTACTTTCTTCCAGCCAGACTGCTGGAAGAGAGGAATAAAAAAGATATGACCCATGGCTATGAGTTCTCTAAGCACTGGAAAAACAAGGACAAAAGGATAAAGGAGCTGCTTACCAGTAACGCCCACACCAGCTCCTCTAACCAAGCATTCTGGTGCCACAGAAGTGACCACTGTGGCAAGCCATCCCTTATTACAATAATAAGTTACATTTCACTTTGTTTTCTTTCTTCTTCTGGTATTTCAAATCAAAAGTTCATGGAAATACCAACACTGGAAATATTCTGCTCTTGCTGTTGTACCAGTGAGCTCACTACGCTGTTTCTTGGAAATGTTATTCATCTCTATGCTTTGGACCATGAATTTAGCCTGGCACTTACTGTCTTTAAAACTTGTAAAATATACACAATGGTCTTAAAGTGCAGCAGTAACCACTGCATCACTGAGTGCTGCCTTCTGTCTTTTACTGAAGCACTTTGTATTTTTCACTTTAAAGTTAACACTTCATTATTCATCTCTGACAGTGCCTCTATTCAGGCTGGAGACCCACTGCACTGCACATTGCTCACAAGCTGCACCACAATGCTGAAACCTCAACCTCCACAAGCTTGGGTTGACATTTGAAAAGTAAAATAAGGGGGGAAAAAAAGACACCACTGAGAAATAATACCTCAAAAAGGTCACCTTTCTGATAACTGAACATTATTCAGTCAATTCAAAGGGCTTTTATTATGTAGTGTAGTCTTAAAGCAGACAGCAAGGTAAGAGTAGTAAAAAAAGGACCAAATAAGCACTCACCAACACTGTGAAGGGAACAAATGAGGCACAACTGGGTACTACCATATCTGTTTGTAAGGAACACTGGCAAAACACCCAGAAGAGCACAAAGCAACCAGTGCTCACAGTTAAACCTGCCAAAGCTGCTAAGTCAGGATGTAAGCACCACGCAAAATTACATGGCTTCAATATTTTAGGTTTACACTTGTGTAAGGAAACATCTCAATTGTCTATCTATATATTCAAAATAGGAGTGTATTTCAAGATTTTAAAGTAATGCAAAAGAATGTAAGCATAAGAGAAGAATGGCAAAATAATTTCCTAGCATTACTTGCAGTCTGTGCACTTTTACATAATAAAGCTAAACAGAGGAAAAACTCTTAAGCATGAATGTTCACAAACCAGTGCATCTTAGAAAACATTAGAGATCTGCAAACTGATCTTTTCTTCCCACTAGAATACCTACCAATGACTGGGTTTTCAGAAGTCACACTGATTTCAGAAAGTTTTCAAACATACACATTATGTTGGCAGGCCAATCTTGCACTGTCTGCATCATTGTCTATACTACTATCAATGAAGCCTTCTGGATTTCACTTTCTGTGAAGTTTTCAGATGCTGTGACATAACAGAGCATCTGAGAGCTTAACACAGGTGTTTCCACCTTATCAACAATTCTTTCATTGTTTTCTTTGATGGAGTTTTCCACCACTTTGGAACAATTCAGCATTGATTACTGACACAGAGATGTTGCAGATATGAGCAGAGACAAAAGAACAGTGCTGGATTCAAGCCACAGTTCCCAGTTTACATCCAACATAACCTGTACTGGTTAAACAGATGTCTCCTCAGCAAAGGAATTCCACAGCAGAGCAAGGTGTCAAACAGCTCAGTGTGCTGAACCTCTGAGTACTGGGAACCTCTGAGTACCTGCAGGTCATGACAGTGATGCTACAAACCACAGGGCACTACACACTGAGCAGCACCACACAGCACAATGATGAAAAAATTGTTGAGGCCACCAGCAGACCTGCAGCCTCCTCTTTCTGTGGGCAGCTGGCACTGGGAAAGGACAGAACAGGGAAATGTGACTGAACCTAAGGGCTGGCAACCAAAGCAGGAGAAGCAAAGGAGAGAGTTTAATACCCAGCAGGTAAGAGCAAGGGGTCAGGAGCAGAGTGGTTGTATCACTGTTATAGCTGCCGTGACCGAAATTAGTAAAATATGCCTCATCCAAACATCCTGGCAAAATTTAACTCAGGGAGTTACATTCACACCTGCCTAACATTGCTCCTTGCAGCCATAACTACAATATTCTTGGATACCTGTTCTGAATTATTGCAGTAGTCTAAGATACTAAAATCCTTGCCACATGAAGGTGCAGTAGCCCTTTTCCACCAAGGATATTTTAGTTTGCTGTGAAATTAGTCCAAGTGATAGGTATGAAGAGAAGCATTAATTAGCTTTCTGGAGATGTCTGGAGTTTGTTCTTTCTGTGTATGACAAACTTCTCCATGTAATCAACAAGAGCTAAAACCAAAAGCTACTCCAGAACTTGTGCTGGTTGTCCAGCTAAGATGAGACAAAGTGGAAAGCACCAATGCAGCTGCACCATGTCACTGGACCTCTCCCTGTAGTAGCCACTGTGTTTTGTGTTTGGCTCCAGGACCATGGGAATGAACATGAGGACACTGTGATGGCCCAGGATGAATTTAGAACACACACTCTGTTTTTTTTCTTACAAATAGCCCAATACTATAAAGAGCTGGAAAACAATACTAAATCTTGCTTCAAACATAAATAAATAACTCAAAGAGATTCTTCAGCATGAGGCACTCGGAAAAACTGCTCTGATCTATAGTTACAGAGACAAAATAGAGAGGCACCTTGTGATTTAATGCCAGGTACTTATCAGTGATGATCCAAGATAAGCTGTACAGTAACTGTTAGCTGTTGGGCTTAAGAGATGTTTGGCAAAATATGCCTCATCCAAACATCCTGGCAAAATTTAACTCAGGAAGTTACATTCACACCTGCCTAACATTGCTCCTTGCAGCCATAACTAAAATATCCTTGGACACCTGTTCTGAATTATTGTAGTAGTCTAAGATACTAAAAACCTTGCCACCTGAAGGTGCAGTAGCACTTTTCCACCAAAGATGCTGTGAAATTAATCCAAGTGATAGGTATGGAGAGAAGTTTAATTAATGCTTTCTGGAGATTTCTGGGAGCTGGGTTTGAAAAGAGAAAGGATGCCAGAAAGTGGTCCTCTGCTCAGTGCAGCAACCTCATTCCTTCACCCTTGTTTCCCATTTCATCCTTTGCTTCCTTGCACGCAGCAGCAGCACACGTAAAGCTGACCACCCTTCCTTCCCCCTGGATCCTGGAACAAGCCACAGCCCCAGAGCCAAACCACTAAAGAGCACACAGAGTTCCCTCCCTTGGGAGAGGAGAGAATGAGCTGCACATGGCCTAAGCCATTGCTGAATCTCAGTACATGGCTGTGGGAACACATGGCAAAGGTAAGCCTTGGCTAAGAATCTACACAGCAAAGCTGAGAACAGGCAGGTTCCACTGTCACTGCCAAAAAGCACAAAAACCAGCATCCCCTGTGATGAGGAACCCCCTCACCAAAAGAGATTCTGGGTTACACAGAATCAGCCTGCCCAGCTCACAAGCCACCTGCTCTGGAAGCTGTTCATGTAATGTATAAACGTCTCTTAAGGCAGGGAAGGATTTAGGGTCCATATTAAATGTATATCCACTTACTGGCACCTTATACAGGCTAAAGGCAGTCTGGAAAACAAGAAGGCAGAATGTGGAATTGACAGGTTTTCAAAGATGATGTGGACAATCATTTCCGAACAGAGCAAACCAAATGTAAAGCTCCAGAGCTCAAATTTACTTAAAAAAAACGAGTCTAAAACGCTCCCAAAGTAAACAGCTTGAGTCCTACTTAGCTGAAGAAGCCTGAAAGCTGAAAACTGGAGATAGTTTTACAAATTGCTTGAATGCAGTACAAGGGTCAGCAAGAACTCACAAGCCCTGAAAAGACTGAAATGCACCCCAGCAAAGGTAGCAGACAGCACACCATTGCCAAACTACTCATGGTACTGAACTGGGGATGTTGGGAGAAAATTACGAGCTCAGCCCTGTAAAGGGATACTCACACAGCTTGGAGAGTGACTCCTGTGCAACTATTTATAAGGAGCAGAATAGTGGAAACCCAGGGCACTGGGATTATTTCTCTGTCTGCTCTGGGGTGCCCTGACCCCCAGGGGAGCACTGACTTTGACCCTCACTCATGGAGAAAGTTTCCCAGACTTCAAGGTAGACCAGAATCCACAAAAGTGTGAAATAGATTATAGAGAGCAGTGTAGGTGTATCATCACTTGGTAAGAAATTTAGGTTTTGGGATTTTTAGTCTGTTGTGGATGGAAGCAAGATGGAGGGCACAGGGTGCTGTCCTGGGTTTCTTCTTCATGCTTCTTCTTCCTTCTTCTTCATGGGTTTGGGTGGCATTTTGTAATTGGACAGAAAAATCCACATTGCAGCTCTTTGGGATCAGTTATTGGGTTAAAAGGGAAAATAATCTCAGTGTCAGCTCTTAATTGGACGGTTTAGTCTCGAAAGACCTTGGAACAAGAGATTGTTGGCCATTTTGTGCCTTCTAATGAAAAGTTGCTGAACTTAAAGTAATAAGACTGCTTTACTCATAAGAAATAATAAAAATTTGAGTCCAAACATGAAACACCATCTCAACTGCCTTCAATGCAGACCCAGAGAAACCCACAACTGGTACCCCCACACAGAATGTGTTTTTTCTGGTAGGGCTCAGAGAGCATTTCCAACAGGGTGCAATTGCTTTGTATACTTATTTAAGGGGGGAACAAGGGCAGGAGCAGGGGGATTAAAAGGAAAAAAAAAAATCTGTTTACAGCATTGTGCTGCTTTTCAAATGATGTTTTCTTACATGGCTCCAGTTTTAGGCACAACCACTGAGTTTCACGTGAATGTAATACTGCTGCAAGTATTGCAGTGGAGAATCTGACTTCATGTGCTATGGCATATATTGTTGGTGGCTCTGCTACTGCATTTTACAAGGTCATTTTTCTTGGTGTGGGAACACTGTTATTCTTGGTGTGCAAGGCTTGCTATGGAAAAATTAGAAGTGAAGAGGATAAACTTCTCAGTGAAATATTTTCTCTCAGAATGAAAGCACAGATTTTAGAGTATCGTAAAGTATGAAAAATGTCTTCCAAAATTTATGTTCGAGCCTTCCCTTGGTTTTAGAACTATGTAAAAAGATAGAAACATACCCAAACTGCTTTTTCCATCTCTTAATATAGCTTCATTTGCTCTTCTTCAGAAAAGAAAGTCTGTAGCTTTTTATTTCATAAATATGCTCCAGAACAGCTTCTGGATGATAATTAAATTAGACCTAGTAGAATTCTCAGCAGAAAAAATATCCCCCTTCCTCAGTTATCCATTTTTTTCCCACTTGGAAGAGATGGAAGGAAGGGAATGAAATCTGTCTGAGAAACACAAGGCTGATTCCCTCTCATAACTCAAGACTGTGAGCTATTTTCTAACTCCAGCATGGATTTCCCATTTTGTGCTCATTTGCCCTGCCACAGCCCAGTTCTAACAGCAGCAAGAGCAAGGAAAACATAACTTGCTTAATTTTAGGATGGAAGGGGTTTTTTTTCCTCTATATTTCTTTCATTTCTCAGTCCTATTAATTGCAGGGGTTAACCCAACTGAAAGACCAAAAGAAATCAAAACCTACCCTGCAAAATCCTTCCTTCATTTGAAGGACCAAGGATGGGAGAAAGAGAAGCTCTTCCTTCTCTTACTGAATCAGACTTCAAATGCTTACAGGTGTTTTAGACTATTTAAATCTCCAACAATATTTTAAGATTACGAAGGATTCTTCCTGAATTCATTTTAAGTAAAAAGGACCCAATTCTGACTACCTCATTTGTGCAAACAGACTGCCTAAGCCCTAATAGACCACATCCTCTATTTGATAATTGCCAGGGACTTTTGATACAAATTTGCCATGTTGAAAGACGTCTATAAACATATTTGTTGCAAAGATTACTCTTTCCTGGATTTGCCACACTTCTTCAAGAGAAATTTCACCAAATGCAACACGGATCTACTCACTTCTCACAATCACTCCTCTCCACAGATGTACCAGGACAGAAAAGCCCTGAGAGATGTCTAAGTGCTCATATCAACAAGTCTGGGTTTGTGCAGTATTTCCCACACTGATTCTCTCCCTGTGAGTGCAGTGCATGAGGATTTTGCATTTACTTCAGCATGTGCCATGATACAGCCCAAAACCTGCCAAAATCAGAAGACCCCAGTGCAAACTTCTCATTGAGCATCTGCCTGCTTAAGTGCAACTTTCTAAAGCCAGCAATAGAATCCCTGGAAGTTATAAAACCAGAAAATTGATAGACTTCCATCTGTTTAACCAATTTCTCTAATCAATATCCTTTCCCCCAGTAATGTTTTGTGCAGACACTGTCTCCCAAATACGTATCTGCAGAATCAATGGAGTTGGGAACGCTACAAATGGCAAAACATTATGAAAATATGAGCTGCTAAAGCTATCACGGTGCTTAAAGGCACAGAGTTTATTAAGGTAATCTGTAAAACATCACTGCAGAAAAAATTCTTGAAGCCAACAATCTACAGGTTTTCGTGAGACAGCCAACTGCAATGATAATAATCCAAGATAGTTATCTGAAGATGATTTTCCTTGTTTCACCCTAACCTTAAAAGAGTGCTCTAAAAGGAGCCCCTCAGGGAAATGGCATCACCTAGAGTTCCCACTTGCCCAGATGTTTCTCTCATTATGTTACAAGCCTGTCAAGAAAAGGCAAATTCAGGGTTATTCTAATGATAGCAAACACCTCATAAAAAACCTCTCCAAATTTACTTTTCCAAGGAACATCCTTTAAAAAGGCATTCCCAGTGCCCATGAGGAAAGAAAGCATCATTTATAAAACATTATTACCAGAAATCTTGCAGATATTAAAAAAAAACATCCTGGAATGTCAAGGCGGTGATAAAAGTGCAGCGAGAGCACGGTGGGGCCTGACCCACAGTGCAGGGCTCAGCACTCCCCAGCAGCACTCCCACCAAGTCCAGCAGGAGGTTTTCTGAGCTAGGGGGGACCTGGCTCCAGGCTGTGGCTGGGATGTTGAGCCTGCAGCTCTGGGTTCCCTCCCGTGGCCAGGGGGTTCATTTTGTGGACCACCAGCACGGAGTGACCAGCACAGCCGGCACCCTCCTGACTTCTCCTTGGCTTTTATCCTTTTATCCTCTGCAGATGCTGGGATTCTTACCCAGATGATGGATGGTTTACATAAATTTATAGTGATAATAATTATGACTTTTTGTCAGTTTATCCCATGACTTGGTAGCTGATTTTATTTTACCACTTGGATGGAGAAGAGAGCTGGCCAGGGCACATGCAACTGACCAGAGATTTACAAGCTTTGTCTGCAGATGTTGGTGATGCTGCAGCTTTGATCACTGTCTCCAACCATTATAAATCAATGGCAACATGAATAAAAAGAACGACCTGAAAGAATACCGAAACAGAACAAAAAAATTCCTTCACTTCTGTTGGACATAATACACAGTGGAGTTTCATGGGAGAAGGCTTTCAAAAGCCTGGAATGGGCTAGCTGGGTCACAAGCACTGTCCTTCACATCACAAGCACTTTAGACCCTAAGTTTGCTGCCTATTTCAGGACGGAATGTCAGCCTGTCTCTTGGAGCTTTCCGAGGAAAGCCATACACTTAGTGCCAGCACTTCCCGAGACCATACACCCATCAGTTCCCCCACACTCCGGGGAACCCTGTGCCCCGCGAAGGCAGGATGCCCTGGGTGGGACACGCCGTGCCTGACACGGCTGTTCCCATCCCTTCCCTGCCCCACAGGCTGCCCAGGTGCGCTGCGGGAACACGCGTGGGAGCCGCCCCGACGCCTGTGCCTTTGCCACCGCTGCCCCGACAGCGTAAAGCCGAGGAGGGCGGGGGACACCCCGTAAAAAAAGCCCCGGGGGAAGCCCTCGGACGGGGGAGCCCTCGGGGCCGGGCCGGGCGTGAGGAGGAGGAGGAGGAGAAGGAGGAGGAGGAGGAGGAGGATGCGGATGCGGCCGGGGCAGGTGCACGGCGCCGGCTCCCCCGGCTCGGCCAGCCCCGCGGTGCCCCGGGGCCGCGGGAGGGTGCGGGGGAGGCGGCGGCACTCACCTGCCGCTGGCTGTGGTTGCCGGCAGCCGAGGGGGCGTGCGGCTCCCCGCCGCCGCCGCGCAGCACGGTGATGTGCAAGGTGAGCAGGAGCAGCCCCAGCAGCAGCAGCAGCTCGGCCGCCAGCCGCACCATCCTCTTGAGCCGGGCGGCTTTAGGGCCCCGCGGCGGCGGCGGCGGGCGCGGAGGAGGCGGAGGAGGAGGAGGAGCCGCGGCGGCCGCCGCCACCGGGACCGCCACCGGAGCGGCCCCGGCCCCGGCCCCGGGAGCCGCAGGACGGGCGGCGGGGAGCGCGGCGCTCTCGGCGTCGGCGGGGCGGGCGGCGGGCGCGGGGCAGCGGCGGCAGCAGCAGCAGCAGCAGCAGCGGGGGCCGCCGCACCACGGCGGAGCCACGTCGGGGCGGGATGCGGCCAGAGTCCCGGCGCTGCCCGGCGGCGGGCGGCAGGTACCCGAGGCCGGCGGCGTCTCTGCGGGCAGCCCTGCAAGCCAGAGGCACCGCGGGCCGTCGGAAGGAGGGAGCGGGCGGCCGAAGCTCCTCGGGGAGCCGCGGCCGGCGGAGAGCAGCGGCTTTCGGCGGCCGGCGGGGACACGCTGCGAGCACGGGGGGAGCCGGCAGTGCGTGTGCGAGGGAGAGGGAGGAGGGAGGAGAGCCAGGCGGGGGGGGCCGGGGACGAGTCTCACATGGCGGGGAAGCCGGGACGCTCCGAGGGGAGGAGAGAGCTCGGGGCTATCGCCTCCCTCCGTGCGCGGGGATGGGGGTGGCCCCCGCACCAGCTTCCCCCGCCGCCGCCGTGTCCTCGCCCGCCCCGCCGCTCCCCCCTCCCCTCCCGAGGGCCGTCGAGGCGTCTCCCTGCCCTGCCCGGCCCTGCCCTGCTCTGCCCGGCCCCCGCTGTCCCGGCTCCTTGCCGTGCGGGGAGAAGAGAGCGGGGCACCCCGCCGGCTCCCAGCTCCCCTCGGGCTGCGAGCTCCCCGGGGAAAAAGAGGGGCAGATTGCAGCTTCCCTTTCCCGTGCCCCTTCCTCTTCCTCCCCTGGCTCAGCCGTGGGCAATGGGATAGGGGGCAGATCTGGGTGGAGGGGATGCGCAAAGCTTCAGCTGCCCGCTGCCCTCCCGAGGAGTTGGATACCTGGCTCCATCTCTCCTCTCTGTTCCCTCCAGTGCCCTGGGGCTGGCAGGGGTAGCGCCGCACTCGCTCCTGCCACCGTGCGTGCGTGTTTGCGAGCGGCTGCCGCTCCTGCTCCTGCTGCTGCTGCTCCCAGCCCCACTTTCTCGCCCCCTCGCTCTGTGTCGGGAGAGGTACGTGTCGGATGCTTTTATACCGCCCTGCCTCCTTCCCCTGCTCCCCCCCTTTTCCTTCGTCCTCTCTGCAGCTCCTGCTCCAGCCTGGCGTGTCCCCCCCTCCTCCCCGTGCCGAGCTGCTCCTCTCCGTGCCCTGCTTTGCCAGGACACCCGCACCCCTCCCCACACACGGCTGCACCTTGCGTCCCCACTGCCTGCCCTGCTCGGCTGGGATGGATCTGCCCTGCAGGGACACGTCCCTTTCAGCCGGTCTGTCTGTCCCCAGTGGGACTTCACCAGGGTTTGGCACTCATTACTCTTCCTCTGGGTTGCTGACCCGTGTCAGTACTGTGGAAAAACCTTTCTCTCTCAGATGGGAGGCCCTCAAACTTAAAAGTAGCGTGGGCTTGAGAGTATGTGAAAATGCGGGTCAGATTATCACTTGCTGTAAGTCAATATCTCAGCGCCCAGTCTGAGGGAGCTGGGCTGCTTTGTGGGTGCTCAAGGTGCAGCTCAGTGTAACAAGAATAAACACAGCTCAAATCAATTTGAAGCATAAATAAAGCCTCCTAACAAAAAATGGGAGTTTTGGAATCTTTGTTGTCGTTCTTGCGCAATTGGGAATGTTATGTGTAAAAATGAGGATACGAACGATCTGTTCGTGTGTGACAGCTGAGGCTGGATTGGTCTAAAACGTCTAAATTGGGGAAAAAGTATCCCCCAATCTGAAACATTTTCATCTGGAGACCAGTGTCCTCAGCAGGGTTTCCTGCAAGGTAAGTGTGAGATGTTTTCGAAGTGTGTGGTGCCAGCTGGGACAAGGCACATCATGGGAGCCTTAGCCCGCACTGTGCCCTGGAAAAGTGGCACTCTTGGGACATGAGGAGCATCAGAGCTCCCCAGAGGTTCCTTGCAGGTCTTGGAGCATCTGAAAGCTTTGGCCATGAGTGAGTCAGGATGATGTCCAGTGATAACCACTGTCAATGACTGCGCAGGAATCAGGCAAGAATATAGTTAATATGATTGCACCGGGGTATCATTAAAGATGTGACCAAAAGCCACAAGCCCCAAACCTTCAGATTTAAGGATTTTTAAATCCGCAAACATGCTCCATGTTAGCACTGCAGTAGGAATGATCAGCACAGATGGTTGTGCAGGGCAGGGACTCCCATGGGTCTGCCCTTGATGTGTCAGAGGTGCAGCTCCCATCCAGTGGCAGCACTTGTTGAAAATTACTCGGTATGGCACCAATGCTCTTGGATCACCCAGAGCTATTCAATACTGCATAAAGCCATAACAGCCTGTGGGACTGTCACATGGCTTTTAAAAAATGTGATGCCCTTTTTTTGTTTTTTTAACCCAAACATTCCTTGGGCTAATCAAGAAGATAAAAACACTGATTGTACTTTGGATGTCATCACTCGGCCTTCGCTCTCCTCCTGCCACCCTTGCTGTGATCCTGGTGGCAGTGAGCAGAAGCAGGGCAGCTACAGGAGGCAGGCTTGGCAGCCAAGAGGCACAAGTGTCCTCCAGGTTTGCCAAAGTCTGAGCATACCTATTGGCTGTTGAAGAAAAGTGGAAACTTGGCACATGAGTTCTGCATTTCAGAGCTGCATAGCGCCAGTCGACAGCCCTCAGAGCAAGGCTGAAGGCTCCTAATGCAAAACAGTCTGAGTGACAGCCTGGTTTAAAACACACATGGATCTGCCCCAGCCAAGCTCTGGGTAATGCAAGCTCTCCCTTGCCTTATGAAACTGAACCCAAAGACATCTTTAATCCAGATGAGATGGGCCCGTACTGGTGAGCATCTCCTCGTGGCACATCCCTGCACTGAGCTGTTGTGCAAAGCTAGGGAGGGACAGAGCAGGGCTGCTTGCAGCTGCAGGCGGGTGGCAGTGAGCAACCAAAGCCTCTTCCCACTGGAAAAAGTTGGTGTAGAAGTGGCATTTGGGAATGGCACTGCTGCCTGTGAGGCTGTCTGGAGCAGCGAGGCAGGAGTGGGCACACACATGCTCTGGAGATGCCCCTTTAATTTCACAAACACTCTTCAGTCAGCAGATGACTTCATCAATGAGTCCAGATGGCTAAATCAAGACCTGCAGGGGGGATGGATTTAAAAGCAGAGGGGAAAGTTCTCTTTTCCCAGCTGGGTGGACACTTGCTCAAGCAGCCCCCATTGAGTCCCTGGAAGATGAAGTTCACCAGGAGGAGGAGACCATAGCTAGCCTGGGGGGGATGCTGCTCCTGGGATGTGGTTGTGGGCACTCCACAGGGAGCTGGATCAGCAAGTGGGTCTGGCAGTGGTGCTGGGATAAGAGAGGTGTGTTCCTGTGATAGCTCCCTGTAAATGTTCACAGCTCACATCTCACCCCCCCATCTCCAGCTTTTACCTTCCATTTCTCTTCCCTCCAGTGAGAAAGGCAGACTCAGCTCCTGTGTGCTCCCAGCTTCTTGCCAGTGCCAGGGAAGTAGCAAGAGCCATTGGGAAAAGAGCCCAGGCTCTTTGATGAGCCCCACAGTGCCCGGTCAGATGGTGCAGCCCAGCTCAGGTATGGCAGTCAGGAAGCTGTGGGAGGTCCTTGACACCCTGCCTCTCACACACCTCACATGTTCCTCCTTGTGCAGCTTCAGGAGTGAGTAGTGGCTGTCCACGTTGCAGCCTCCACCATGGGGTGAGGACTTTCCCTGGGAGATGTTTCAGGACTCTGCTGGCTACAGCTGTGACACTGCCAGAGGAAGGGCCCAGGGTCTCCCTTGCACCAGCCTGCCAACAAAAATGCCACTGTGCCACCTTCAGTGCTCCAAGCCTGCAAGCTTTGTCCAGGGCTGAATTTGTCATGTCCTTACTGACATGTCCTGATGGGGATGCTCCTGTCTCCTGCTGTAGCCATCACAGGTTATCACCCATGTACTGTCCCCCACACTGCCTGGGGCCAGCCCCTCTGCATCACTGTGCACTTGGTGTTGAGTCCTGGAAACCAAAGTGTTGCCTGAGACAGAGCACACTGCAGAGGCTGGGTGCTCCTAGGGACTGAAATGAACATTTTGTTTTGTTTCATTGATTGTACCTGGTCAAGTGTGAAAAATCCTCACTTTGGATGAGTGCCACCAGGTGACAACCTTCAAGGCCAATGTGAAAATCACTGGATAAGAAGGGAAGAGAAAAAAAAATCAGTATGATATAATATAAACCAACATAACTCGCTTTAAATGCTTTATCTCAGAAGTGAGAAGGCCCACTGGGTTTTATGTCACAGTATTAAGACTTCCTATACTAAGCAGTCCCAGCAGTTAAAAGTTATTGGTGTTTACCTGATTGTCCACTTTACCCCTTCCCTGTCCACCCTGGCATTGCTCCAGGACTGTGAAGGCATCCTGTCTGTGAGATCTGACAGCTTTTCAGAGCAGCATTGCTGCTCCTCAGCCTGCACCCACTCCCAGGATGCCGTCGTTTCATCTTTAAGCCTGGGGGTTGCTTTAAATTTATCAGGGATGAAAACCTGGCTCCACTGAAGTCGTTGGCAAAGCTCCCATTGACTTCAGAGGAGCCAGGATTTCACCCTAAGATGCTTTGTAGATTATTGGTGAATGGAAAGCATACGTCTGGCTTCTCCAGGGTTATTATTGTTGGTGGTGACCTCTGCTCTGGCAAGCATTGAGCAAGGCTGGGTTGAGACAGATGCTCAAAGCTTTCCCTACCTCTTCTCCTGCTTCCTCACAGGGGCTTTGCTTTATGGCTCATCATCTTGGATGCTGCTTATCAAGGAATACCTTCCCGTCGCCTGCCAGTGGAATTTAATGCCTGTTTGCCCACATTCCCCTTCCCCCAAGGCCAGCAGATCAGCAGATAGGAGACAG